ACCACAATATCACCACCATATCATCACCATGATTATCACCTGGACTGTCCTCACCACATTATCACCACCATATCATCACCATGATTATCACCTGGACTGTCCTCACCACAATATCACCACCATATCATCACCATGATTATCACGTGGACTGTCCTCACCACAATATCACCACCATATCATCACCATGATTATCACGTGGACTGTCCTCGCCACAATATCACCACCATATCATCACCATGATTATCACGTGGACTGTCCTCGCCACAATATCACCACCATATCATCACCAAGATTGCCACCTGGACTCTCACCACCACCAAATCATCACCACCACTATCACCAAAACTATCACCTCCACCACATCATCAACACGACTGTCACCACTAACACGATGACCTCGACTCCTACCATCACCATCATCACCTCAACCGCCACAACCACCAACAACATCACCACCACCACCATCATCGCCACGACCACCACAATCACCACCACCACCACCACCATCGCCAACACCGAGAGCATCATCATCATCACCACCACCACAATCACCAACAACATCACCACCACCACCACCATCGCCAACACCGAGAGCATCAACAACATCACAACTACCACCATCACCATCAGCATCGCCACCATCTTCACAACCATCAGCATCTTCACTCTCATCACAACGCCCATAATTTCCACGACGCCCCGGTATTTGACACCTTCATTGTCAGCTGCCAAAACCAAATAGCGCGTGAAACAGGTTGTAGTATGTAGTGTAATGCGTGTGGTATGTATGGCCCTTTATTGCGAATGTTGATACGGTACGTCTAGCTTCATGCATTAAGATAAGTCTTGTCCGGATTGTTTACAGACCGCACTCAAATAGACGGCATATGTCTGAACGAACACGTATGCATGATCTTCATACACACATGTGCAACATGTTGCCTGAACACTATCGACTTCTGTTTGTCAATCAAACAACAAATAAACAGCAGCACCTTTATACTTTTGAACAACATCTGTCGTCGTATTGTTATGATCAGTATATATTTACGTTTATGTCAAATGATTGTTGGTGGCAGTACATTAATCAGAATGTCGTCTGCTTTTCTGGCTAGGTTTTTAATCATTGGATAATTGAGTAATTTTAGTTCACTCAATGGATATAATGCTTTCAATCTACATTCATTCTATGACTGTTCCCAGTGGAGATAACTTTTTTCTATTCTGAGGTTATTCCTTATTCACCCCATGGGTCAAATTATGTCCATTTTAGGGTCTTCATGTGTTACAAATGTACAACTTACTCGCCTTCCTTTACGGAGATGAACTTACAGTATAGCAGCTCAAACGTCATCATGTTCCGACCATGTCTTTGTAAACCTTGACTGAACTTTTAGTTTTCCAAAAGGGTTAAACATTATAACATGATACATACATATCACTTAAACCCTTTAGCGAAGTCGAGGGATACTATTTCAAACTTAGTCATTACCAAAATTCAAAATCAATAGTTATTCCCACAAGTGAAATTCCATACATCTTGCTGAACGAATTCGCCAGTCTTCCAATTACGCCTCTTGTATTTCGCTTTTACATCAACACACGAGGGATGTGTGTTTAATATGTGAAGCTCAATAATTGCGTTTCAGAGCGACCATCCTCTTGGCATTTACACACATATTCTGAGTGTAGATTGGGTAATACAGCATGGAAAGCCTGCCTTACAGTGATCATTGTAACAACGAAATAAGAACATTTGCAAAGAGTGCAATTTCATGCTTGACGAATTCTTATCTTTTCTCACTTGATTTTGCCATGTTTGGCATTTCAGCGTGTGTGTGTGATCGAGATTCTGAAATGCAGATAATCCAAGTTTACCTCTGACTTTATCTTAATGGCTATGTTTTGGACAGGAAACCTTTTCAAATCCAATATATGACACTGCGTAAACTGCCTCAACGTGACGTTGACGTCAACGTGTTTTCCCCGTTGTGATTCAAAGGTGGCCCTTTTCACGTCCCGGCTTATTACCAATATCATCATAACGGAGTAGCTGCCAAGATGGCCAGATGTAAAAGAGCATGTCACAGCAACCTTTTTGTCGATAACTTATTTATCAACGCCGGCTGCATCTCTCACATGAGAGCGGTGTTTGGATGCCCGTCGCTTTGTATTGTATATTTGTGGCATCACTTGTGAATTACATCTGTCTAGATAAATCAGTTACAAACAGATCTGTGACGAATAAATTAACAATTGTTTCTTCGGGGGTGTAGTAGATCACTTGAGTCATTTATAGATAGGTGTAGACCCGTGAAGACCCGGGTTAGAATTGGTCTTCAGCACCCATGCTTGCCGTAAAAGGCGACTATGCTTGTTGTACTAACGGGATCGGATGGTCAGGCTCGCTCACTTGGTTGATGCTTGTCATCCCTATTGCGTGGATCGATGCTCATGATGTCAATCACTGGATTGTCTGGTCGACCTGG